GCTGCAAAGGACCACATTCTGGGCAAAGTGAGGGCAAGCAGAGGAGCTGCTGGAGCGGCTTCTTAAAGCTTGCTGGCATGATTGCTTGCAGTGGTGTGAGTGCGGCCTGAGCTGCTGCTGCTCGTCAGGAGCACGGTGATGTCAGGACTGGCGCTTACCTCCGTACCCTTCCGACACCGCGATGTCGAAGTAGTCGGGGAAGGCTGATGCTTGCACGATGCTGTAGGTGATGTGGTTGTTTGGAGGGGAGTCCTCGTCAGAGGCCTAAGGGCAGGAGCAAAGGGAGGGAGTGAGCAATGAGAGCTGTGCTGGTGAGGTGCAACGAGAGAGAGCTGAGGGGATGGGATTGCAGGCTGGCCCGAGGAGAATGGAAAAGCACAAAGCATTTTTAGGGGGATGGCAGCAGGCGTGGACAGGGACCTAACCTGCTCCCATCTCCCCACTGCACATCCCGGGTGGAGGAGTCCCTCACCCGGAGCCGGACCACCTGGGTGACAGAGGGCTCATTCTCCCGCAGGGCCCCCAGGTATGCTTCCTTCTGGAAGGTGGGGACATTGTCGTTGACGTCGAGGACGTTGATCCGGGCTCGCCCTGTCGTTTCCTCCCCGCCACCATCCTGGGCAATGACGGTCAGGGTGTAGCGCTGCGTGGTCTCGAAGTCCAGCCGAGCCGTCAGGAGGATGACACCCGTGTCCTTGTCCAGAGAGAAACTGAGGGCACAAGAAAGGAGAGCAAAAGCTGATGACCACACGTTGGAGATGGAGAGATGGAGGGGTAGCAGCCTGACAGCTAGCACCCCCGTGGGAAGTTCATGGCTTTCCTCCGAGGGATATTAGATCCCAGAATATCTTCAAGAGCTTGGTGCAGGTGGCAGGGTAGAAAACCTTGGTGCTGCTCTACAGGCAGAGAAAGAGGGCTCATAGGCCCCCAAACTCCTTCTGCTAGGCAGCCCAAATGCCCTCCACAACTGCCCACCATGAGTGGGTCACACATGATGCTCCAGGGCCAACAACTCACTGGAAAATGCATTTATCGGTCCCAAGCAACGTTGGTGCCTGTAAGCCCCCATTCAGCCAAGCGACTAAACGTGCTGAGCATCAGGCACGTGCTGAAGTTAACTCGTCCCTTTGGCAGAAAATGTAGGGGGGTTGTCCTGAGATACCTCATAGGTAGGATCTAACAAATGCCCTTAATTGCCACGTGACCCCTTCATGAAATCAGAAGACGATTTTGAAGAATCAGAGTCATGCCAGTGGTTCGGTCACACTTACCGATCGGGGTCATCGCTGAAAAAATAACTGACTTTCCCGTATGTGCCCACATCATTGTCAGTTGCCTGAAAAAAAAGAAGTTAATTGACAAATGAAGGTATTTCTGGGAATGTTGCATTACACACACCAGCGAATTTCCTTTATTTCCCTGACTCGAAATTGCATGTAAAATAAAGGTTTCCACAGACTATTTTTATGGGTCCAGCGAATCCCCAAGAGCCAGGACCTCACACCCATTGCTCTTACCGTTCCTTGCATCTGGGGCTGTGGGGAGAGAAATAAAAACCTACCCTGCTTCAAAACGACCGGCACCTCCTGGCAAAGGTGTGCAAAATTCGGTGTGTCAGCTCGGGATGAGCAAAGCAAGATTTATGTGGGTTTTAAAGTCTTTCCTCTAATGAATATATAAAATATGCATGAGTGGTGGCAAGAAAAAGGAGCAGAAAATTTTATTTTTAGGTGAAGGAAGAGGAATATAAGCCCCAAAATATCCTTTTTCTCTCCTAGTACATTTTCTAAATTGAGTCCTGTCCGGATTACTTAGACATCAACAGGTCTGTGAAAAAGCAGGGTCAAAGACACATTTTATGTCCAGCCACCAGCAAAAGGCTGTATTTTAGGACTGGCACGGAACACAACCTGTTCCTGAAATCTTCCTGATTTATCGATGGCCTTGATTACCCTTGACAGCAGAGTAGGAGCTTGAGCACATCACACACCTTTACCCCCTGAACCACTTACCTGCCATTCCAGGGGGTGGCAGAGGGGCAAAGGCACAAAAACTAGCCTGAATTAATTATTTTTTTTACCCCCTAGACACTTCCCCAGCTTGAGCGGTTAATCCCTGAGCGTCTGGTGCAAGAGCAGAGCCTATAAAGGCATTTTTCCGTGCGCCTGGATCGGCTAGTGATGAGGTAATGATTTACAGGGAGCCTGACAGTGCCACAAAGCATGGGCAAAACTAATTCCCTTCATTTAGCCCCGTACAATTGCACTTGTAACTGCTTATTGCAGTGACAGACAATACTGGGAAAGTGTAATTTTCTTCTGCCAGGGGAAAAAAGAAATATATATATATATAGTGAAAGAGGAAGGTTAAAAGAAGGTTAGAATAGAGCTGCTCGGTGTGGGAGGTGGTGGGGTCCTTAGGAGGGAGTTGGACCCTCGAGCTGTGGTGATGCTGCGCCAGCCAAAACCCCCAGCGAGGCAAAGCGACCTGCTCCCGAGGTGCCAGGAGGTTGGGCAGCCTAATTCTGCCCCAAACAGCACCTCTCCAGCTGGGCTAATTAATTACCTTGATTTACACCGGGGGAGGTGGAAGGTGATGCCTGTTTGATGGCTTTCCTGGCAACTGAACATCACGGCCATAACGCAGGGCAACAGAGCAGGTTACTTGAGCGTGACAGGGAATATGCAAAAAAGCAAAACGATGCACGCTCAGCATGTTTAATTTTGGATCTGCGCTTGTTTCTGCTTTTACCAAATGTTTTCCCTTTAACGGTGAAAAAAAGGACGCTGAAAGCCCCGGGGAAGCGACACGCACCCCGCTTTTGCAAAGCGATTCCGGGGGCTCGCAGGGTGCACACACAACCCGCAACACCCCAAACCCCACCAAAGCTTTTGTAATCCCTTGGTGCCAGCTGTTTCCCCACGGCTCACCCCCGTCACTGACTGTTTTTTCCCCACGGCGCACACACATCCGTCCCCACAGCCAGGGGAGGGAAGGCATCTGGCTGGAAGTTTCCCGGGGTTCCACCTGGAGAAGCAATCAAATGGCTTTTACGGCTGCTCCTCTCCTGCCCAGAATATTAAAGCAGGATTTGCCCACTGGAGCCTGCAAAAGGGCAGGATGAAAATGCAGGTCCACATCTGTACTTTTATGAGCTGTCACTGGCGCAGCCCATTTCTTAAAAAAAAAAAAAAAAAAAAAAAA